TATAGAACTAAACACCCAGAAATGAGTATGAGTTAGTAAACTAGAGAAATCTGAGTAACATTGGTAGATTTTTTTCCACGGGGATATTCTGGCTGTGACATGCCTTAGTTTTATAAGATGTTACCACTGGGAGGAAACTGGGTAAAGGGTATATGTGATTATTTCTTACAATTTCATGTGAGTCTACAGTGGGCTCAGTAAAGATTTCCACACAATTTTTTTCTCGGTTCTAAAAATGGGTAATATTCAATATATTGTGGTTTTTTTCTGTTCAGTGACAAATGTGAAATCAGATTGATATTCACAAGTACTATGTTTTATCCAAGTTTGTTTTCATTAAGCTTATCTAATATATAGAGAAAGAACAAATGCTTTTTATAAATTGAACTATAACTAAATTTCTAAAATCGTGAAATAATTTTCTTTTTTCCCTCTCTTTCAGCCATGAAGACTTTGAGTTTATTTCAGGAACACGAATGCGCAAACTTGCTCGAGAAGGTCAGAAACCTCCAGAGGGTTTCATGGCTCCCAAAGCTTGGACTGTGCTGACGGAATACTACAAATCCTTAGAGAAGGCCTAGGCTATTAACCCAGTTACTCTATCTTGGATGCTTCACTGCGTAACAAAAGGGGACCATATAGTCATTATTGCATTTATTTGTGGTGGTGTCTGTCTGGATGTGCTTTCTAAAAACAGGACCATTCTCCTTAACTAGCGTCGGCTTTGGTCTGCCTTATGAGTTCTGTTGGAACTAATGTAACACCCTGCTGGTTTTAATGTATCTTTTCTGCTTATTACAGTTATATTCCTACAATGCAATTTTAAAATTTTATCTTTTTATATTATATTTATGCTTCTGTTTCATAATTTTTTCAAGCTGTTATATTAATTACAATCGGTGTACACACATCGAATCTCACTTTTCATTCTTGAAAAAGACTAAACCATAAACTTGGCTAGGCCTTGTTTGGGGAATTTAACAAGACATCTGTAGCAATTAGATTTTTTTTTTCTGTACTGAAAGTAGAAACTGCTTTCTTTCTTCCTTACAGTCAGCTGTTGATCTTTCGTCTGTTAGAATCTAAAATATTCTTATGATCCATGTAAGCTCTCAATGAACTTCTTTATCCAATAAAATTAATTTTTTGGCTTCTTATTTATTTGATACTTTTAATATTGCTTTGTTTACACATGCCCTTTCCTCCTTGTGGTCAAGTTTCTGATAAAGGAGGGAAAATACACACCTTTTATTACTGGAATCTAATAACTGACTTCCTTACTTATGTTACCTAGTGAAATTTTGGAGAGCAGGGGCCTGTGTCCCATCATTTTAATTGGGAAAATAATAAAGCATTCTTAGTTCATCCCAAACTCAACCAGTTTCTACAGATACCTCTCAAATATTCTCTAGTATTCTTAAATACCAATGTAATAATCCACCAAGGATTTGGAATATAGATGGGGTATGTAATACTTCAGTTAGGGAAATCTGTGTTGTAGAAACAAAGCTCTAAATCACAGTGGCTTAAATAAAGGTTTGATTCTTCTTTATGTCTTAGGCTCCACACAGATTGACAGGTTCTATTCACCTTAGTCATTCA